CTTCTCGGAAGAGGTGACTTTTGAGAAGAAACCTGAATGAAGCAAAGGAAATAAATCATGAATATCTAGAGGAAGAACATTCCAGGCAAAAGAAACAGCAAGCTTAAGATTTAGACTTGGGAACATACTTGACCTGTTACAGAAACAGCCAGGAGGCCAGGGTGACTGGAAAGCAATAAGCAGTGAAGGGAATATGACAAGAGAGAAGGGGAGCCAAGGGGCTCATCTTATAAGACTTTCTAGGACTTTGGATTTTATAAGGAGAGTGATGGGAAGCTTTTTGAGGCTTGAGAATTGGAAAGAAACAGGAACTACTTTTCTGTTTGAAAAGAATCCTATTTGCTGTAAGGAGAATAGACTAGGGAGGCAAGATCAGAAGGGAGATCAAGTAGTAGGCTATTGCAATAATCCAGGCAAGAAAGGGTGATGGTGGGCCTCCCCTGGTGGCGCAGCAGTTGAACGCTGGGCTGCGAAGCCACCGGCAGCCTCTGCAGTGCCGCCGATTCAATCCCCGGCATCCAGTGAGGATCCCACATGGTGTGACAGACCGCTCCTGCCGTGCCCACTGCTCCCCTCAGCAGTGTATTTCGTCAGCCTGCCTGTTCTGCTCCCTGCTCTGGCTCTGGTGAATTCTCTCACGTTCCCGTGCTTCTGACTATACCCAGTGCTTGTATAAATAAATAAATAAATCTTTTTTTTAAAAAAAAAAAAAAGGGTGATGGCTCAGTCCAGGCTGGTAGTCATGGATAAAGAAGAGAAGTGACTGGATCACAAGTATATAACTTCTTTTTTTTTTTATAAAGTCTTTTTTTTTTTATAGAGGCATATTTTATTTATTTATTTGTTTGTTTGTTTGTTTTGTTTATACATGCACTAGGTACAGTCAGAAGCGCGGGAGGGTGAGAGAATTCACCAGAGCCAGAGTAGGGAGCAGAGCAGGCAGAAAGACCGAAGTACACTGCTGAGGGGAGCAGCAGGCGGCAGGAGAGGTCTGCGCGCCATGTGGGACCCTCCTCCGGTGGCTGGTGAGCAGCCGGGGATCGAACCGGCACCGCAGAGGCCACCCAGCGCTCAACCGCTGCACCACCGGGGAGGCCCACAAGTATATAACTTCTTAAGATCAGGGACAAATGTTACTCATCCACCATCCCAGGATTTAGTTCTTAGTTGGTTAATTGTTTGAGTGAATAAAACCAAACAAATGGCAGCATTCCTGTCTCTTTGTCACATACTATGTGGCCATTGAAAGGTTTTTAAAAATGTCTTCAGTATAAGCTTAGCATCACTGGCTATAGACCACTTTAGTGCTCCTTAACCCTGAGCCGGCATACTCCCATAGTTTACAGATTCAGCTCAAGCCAGCTAATATGTATCCAGAGAGGCTAAAATCATCCTAAAGAAGACAATGGCTTAGATAAACAATAAGAAAGGACTTTAGGCCTTTATGTAGGTAAAGATTTAAACTCCCATTCTGCAAACTCAAGTTATATAGTAGTAAGGCTTTACATTTAAATATCATTTTATGTTTTACAGTATATGTTCATATATTTACAATCACTCCATAATACTCTCCCCATTTTAGGTAGAGGAGTTAAAAAAAGTTAAGTAACTTATTTATAAAATAGCCAGCAGGTTGCACATCACCTAAACCAGGTATTCTATCTCTAGATCTTTTAGTCTTTCTACCATGCTCTTAAGTTTATTTACCAAACAACTAACCAGTGAATGTGTTATGCACCATAGTAGATAGTGGGAATGCTGACATGAACAGTAGCCCAGTGCTGACCTTATAAGAACTTAGAGTGTAATGGAGGAATCATATAAGAAAATAAAAGATATTAATAAGGTATGGTAAATACTGTAGTAGGATTAAGCACAGGATTAACTTTGGTTGTATATATAACCAAATTATATATATAATTGCTAAAATATAAAGTAAAATAAATATTCTACCAATATTCTAGCATTTGCCTGAGTGTGTAATCCATATTTCGCTAGTTTGGAAAGTGGAATTCAACTGGCTTTTGAATTCAAATGGCATGCAGTGTATTAAATTAATTTATTATTGATAGATATCAAAATCTGTATGATGGGCCTCCCCTGGTGGCACAGCGGTTGAGTGCTGGGCTGTGAAGCCCGAGCCTCTGCAGCGCTGGTTTGATCCCCTGCCTCCAGCAAGGGTCCCACATGGCGCACAGACCTCTCCTACACCTGCTGCTCCCCTCAGCAGTATATTTCATCCGTCTGCCTGTTCTGTTCCCCACTCTGGTTCCGGTGAATTCTCACACCCTCCCGTGCTTCTGACTGTACCCAGTGCTTTTATAAATAAATAAATAAATAGATAAAATCTTTAAAAAAAAAAATCTGTATGATGTAAAGTCCCTAAGATGTCTTCCACAGATTTAGAGTTCCAGCTTTCTAATGTTATTTCCTAAACTTGAACTGATTACATTTTTTTTTTTGTGAGAACTTAGTTCATAATTTTACCTTAATGGGAACTAGACTTGAGAGTGTCATACAATTAGAGGAATACCTATGGAAATTTAAGTCCCAAGGAATTTCAGAATTTTAGAGTTGCCTAGTTTAGCCTGACTCTTACATTGAAATTTGGGTTATGAGGGCCTCCCTGATGGCGCAAGGGGTTAAGACGCAACCTATGAAGCTTTCCACAGCCATTGCAGCATGAGTTCGATCCCCGCCAGAGAGCTACCCACATGGCGCAGCAGACCTCTCCTGACTTGACTGCTGCTCCCCTCAGCAGTGTATTTCCATTGATCTGCCTGTTCTGTTCTCCCACTCTATCTGGTGAATCCTCTCACTACCCACAACTCTGGCCTATACCCCAGTTCTTGTATGCATAAATAAATAAATCTTTTTAAAAAAGAAATTTGGGTTATGATAAAGTTGGAAATTATACCACAACACTCAGATGAGGAAAGAGTGGAAATACCATAGGCCTCTGAATTAAAAGATGTTTTTTCTTTCTATGGTGGACTTCTCTTGCTTTAGTAACTTATTTCTTCTTTTTGAAATATGTGTTTGAACAAGTGAGAAAGTATACCTGTCAAAAGATTAACCAGCTGAAAACCATTGTCAGCATTAATTTTCCTTTAATAAATGACTTTCTGAAGCTATTTAGCAATGTGTAATCTAGACAGAAAGCTATTGACCTATGATAGATAGTGCTGGATTTGTTTGTAAGCTTTGACTTAAATCGTCTACTTAATTCTCTAGGTCAGATGAACAAGATTAGGAATAAGGGTGGTTGTGTGGTTTGAATAAAAATGGCTGTACACATTGAGCAAAATCATTGTAAAACATTAATGATCTACCATCTTGGTATAGTAAATTAGGGACTAGCAACATGATAGTCACTTAAACTTCAAAGTTACCAGAACATTCAAATGACACAGGTTGGCTAATTAAAAGCATATGTTATAATTGGGATTTTGTACATTACCAATTCCAACATGTGTCTGAAAATGTTGTGAAATAATGTAATTTAGCCATATGTGTGAGCATCTTACGCTTTTCTAACATGTGGGCATTCCTTCTCCGAAGATTGTTTAACTAACATAATGCTGACTTTTCTTTTAATAATTAGTTAAAAATAGCATGTACAGTGCCTCCCTGGTGTCAGAAGGGGTTAAGACACAGCCTGTGAAGCTAACTGCAGCCACTGCAGGACAAGTTCGATCCCTGGCCGGGGAGGTACCCACATGGTGCAGCAGACCTCTCCTGACTTTCCCGCTGCTCCCCTCAGCAGTGTATTTCAGTCAATCTGCCTGTCTGTTCCCCACTCCGTCTCTGGTGAATCCTCTCACCTGTTCCCCCACACCTCTGGCCTATACCCCAGTTCTTGTATGCATAGATAAATAAATCTTTTAAAAAAATAGCATGTACAGTAAAATAGAAAGGCCACTTGACTTGGCAATGGTAAAATGTTCACAATTTGAATGAAAAGTGGAGAATGACCTCTTTACTTGGGTTTTTTAGGTGTAAAAACTGAGTATTTCATTGAATAAATTAAATTCAAAAGTAGACCATTACATGCAACTGTCTATTCTCACAACCAGATTTGCTATATAGTTCAAACAGTTAGTTTCTTTATTCCTAGCTGTACTCTAAAATAAGGTGTAAAGACAAAAATTGCACTAATTCCACATACTTTCCTGGTTTTGATCAATAAAGCCTAACTTTAAAATTATGAATTAAGGTTTCTTTAATAATAAAAACAGTAATAATGCTCAGTTTTAATTTTATAGTTACTAAATTTCTAGATGAACAAAATCTAGCCCCTCCCCCTTTTTTTGGGCCAGGCTGGGCCATGTTTTCTGTTTTAAAGTAGACGTTGTTTCTCCAACCATTTTAATAAGTGAACATGTAAAAAAAAAAATGTTAATAACTGCTAAGGAGTAGCCAGACTAAGCCAAACGAAAATGTTTCTTCTGCTTCTATCACTGGGAGTGAATTGCCCCAAAAGTATATAGCAGAGAAGAAAAAGAAAAATCAAATATTATTGGTAAGTGTACATCAGAATAACCATTCTAATTTAGTTTTTACCTTACAAAAGAATCTTGCCCTCTGAAATGCTTACTAGTTTATGAAAGAAAGAGCCAGATCTTTGTGTAGATCCTCTAGGCAGTAATGGAGAGTGAGCAAGGAACACCCTCTGGCCGCTCCTTGCTGTAACTGAATAGTTTTCTTAGGAGCATAGTAGATGCACTGGAATAATAAAATTCACACTTCAAATTCTCATATCTGTCATGTCATGATTGTCCCAGACTATTGAAAATTGAGAATAAGAGTTTGACTGTCTGTCCCTTTTGGTTTATGATCATCCTGCCTGCTATTTTATTATTAAAGTATTTCGGGAGAGGTTTAGAGTATCTTAGACATGGTTTCATTTGGTTTGGGAGGGTAGTCTCTAATTTTACTGTCTGCTTAAGCACTTGAGGAAATGTGTCCTGCTTCTATCCCTTTACCCCCAAATCATTCAGGTGTGGGAGCTGCTCGGTCTGGGAACCTCACGTTTATGGTGGGAGGAGTGGAAGAAGAATTTGCTGCTGCCAAAGAATTGCTTGCGTGCATGGGCTCCAATGTGGTGTATTGTGGAGCTGTTGGGACTGGGCAGGTAACATTTTTACATTATTGACCTTGACTTGATGTAAATGGATAAATGTTCATTTCTCTTTCCTGGCCACATTCGTACTCTTTCTTTCACCGTTCAATGTATGAATTCTTTTTTGCTCAGATTTTCTTAAATTAATTTGCAATAAATTAGTTTTCCATCTTTCTTTTAGGATTGAGCAGACATCAGCCATACGTTTATTTTAAAAAAATATTGAAAGTTTCATCTTTCAGATTTTGACATATCATCTCTTCACCACTGAAATCATCCTTACAACTGTTTCTGTTTGAAGTGCCGAGTTGCTGAGCTGGTGTCCTCCAGCTAATTTTGTAGTTACTTACTATGGCACTGTTTACAGTGTTAGACTATGCACTTAAATCTTTTTCTTGAAAACCAAATAATTTTCATTTAGAAATATGTTAAATCACTTCTCTAGCCAGACAGAGGTGTAGGACAATGCTGAACTTTGAAATCAAACTAGTTGCTCCCCTCCCTCACCCAACACACAGTCACATTCACTCACTTCTCTTAATGCCTGTTCCTGGTCACTGGCCCCTCTAGACCTTATTCAAAACTTTGGTATTATCTTACATCTATTATCTCCAGTCCCTTGTCCAATCAGTCTCTAGTTTCAATTGATTTTTGCTTCAGTGGCCCTCATTGTTGACCATCTTGTCTATTCCACACATTACCTGGCCCAGTCTTTCCTCTTGTTTTCTCAACTCGTTTACCACTCAGAGGGCCTAATAGGTCTCTGAATGCCAGGTTTACCACTCTGCCCAACACTGTATCCAAAACACCTTGTGTGATAACAGTACTTTCCCATTCAGAAACTTGGAATATAACCCTATTTCTCACTATGTCAAATTTAGCTCTCTACCCTACCTATCATAGCACTTGCTTTCTCAGGATTCCTTAAAACATGCACATGGTCGATTTTCTTAGTGTTTTCAGGAATATCCCATGCTGTTCTGTATTTAATCTCTCTTAAATATTTACCATTTCCGATTCCACTTCCTCTCTGCCTGACCCTTTATTTCTATGAACAAAGTCATATATCTCATACAGCTTGCATACAATTTGCCACTTAATTTTTTTATTTATTGCCTTTTCATTCAATGTGTTACTGTCTTCTCTACAATGTATGCCCTTTCCCTTAAAGAGTAGTTCTGCCATGTAGATGTGTGTTCCCTATTACCAAGCTTACAGGAGATGAGTCACCACTTTGGGGTTCTTTCCTGCTAGAAGAGACCCCCCAATGTGGTATGGAATAGCATGTTAGACTGAGAGGGAGGCATGTAACCCCACACTCTTTTCCCTGCTTGAGAGAATCAGCAGTTGAGTGCTCTTATTTTTAAGAAATTTCCAAGAAGAGTGTGGAGTTAAGTGAAAAAGAAGTTCCAATGAGTTATATATAGTTTGAAAATAAAGATATTTAATGTGCACTTAATTTATTTTCAGGCAGCAAAGATCTGCAACAACATGTTGTTAGCGATTAGCATGATTGGAACAGCTGAAGCTATGAACCTTGGAATCAGGTTTGTTGAATTTTCATATATTGACAGTTTTTACAAGCTTTACTACTTGATGTCCTGATGATGTTGAAAAAAAATTGTTCATGAGAGATAAATGTATTGGTCTAGGACCATTTTGGAAGTACTTCATTATTGAACTTTAATAGACTTTTGCTTATTTGACGACCAATAGGACCCTGGAGAGCAAGAATACTCTTTGCCTAGCTATAAAATGGATTGTGTTGTATATTTGAAGCTGCATTATCCTTTTTAAGTGGAAACTCTGTTTCTTCTATTATGTTGAAATGCAAGGAACATCTTCACTGTAAAATTTAAACATACATTTGCAGTGTAGGGCAAATCTGTATAAAACACAGGTTTAAGTGTTAAATAGCAAAAATCTAACTGAGTTAATTTTAAAGATCTAATTGGTTTTATTAGTAAATTCACGAATCAGGTAGCATCCCTCCTAGCATGTAGATGGGCACTGTAAGAAATTGTATAAAATGGAAGGTTTTTATAGCCAGAAAGAGGGCTTCAAAAGAAAAGAAGGATTACTGTAGGCAGAGCCACCTTCCTTCAGGGGAAGGGCTAGGTGGGGTCTTATCCTGCAGGTTACCTCCCTTACTATGCTGACTCCATTTGGGGCCTGTTTATTTTTTGTTTTTTAAACAAGTGCATAGTAATGAATTCAAGAGTTATGCTACCATGTGACTGCTTTCTATCTATTTTCAAGATAGTTCCCCAAATCTGCACTGACAGGGCTCTTGGTTGTTTAGTCTCAGGTTAAACTGGATGGTATTCTTAAAACTGCCGCTCATTTGCATAATCTTTCATTTTAACTTGCCTGTGATTTTGTTACTTTCCATTAAGATATAACTTCCCATTAAAACAAGATGGCATTTATTCTTGGCATAAAGTGATTGAAGAATTCTGTTTTTCCTGTGATGATCATCCTTTAGAAAGTTTAAGGTTAATGTCTTAATTTTAACCTTTAATCTTTTAGGTTAGGAATGCTGTTTATGATTAATTACCTAATTAATTTTTTGAAAGTTTTGTATTTCATGAATATAATAAATATATATTTCTTACTTTATAAAATGCTTAATGAGCAAGTTGCTTCTTTCAGGTGTTTTCTTAACAGTTCCCAAAACTGCTTTCCAAATATCACAAGTCAGAGTACTGTTTCATATCACAGCTTTTGATAAAAGCAATAAAGAGAGCCAAAGTACTTGATATTTTTTAAAACACAGTAATGGATTCAATTTCCTCTTAATTACCATATCAAGATGCTGTTGTTTTATTGAATTGCCCTTGTCTCAGATGTTAAACTATCTTGACCTATTAAGTTGTCATGTTGTAATTGAGATAAAAGAGGAATTTGCTTTGTATCAGCGCTAATTGGTTTATCAATATCCTGTACCATTTACATTTTAAAATTAAATGTCTGTAAGATAGTAAGGCATATCTGTACAAAGCCTTAGTAAAACTGGTAGTAAGAATATAGGAAGCTGGTCAGTATTATGTCTGTATGGTAGCCAGTTTTAAGTAGTAAGTCATTTATAACTGATGTACTGGTTACTAGTAAACTTGTTTTCTTGTCCTATAAATTAATTTCATGGAAGAGGAAATTTCTGGAACAAAATGATTAGTGTTAACAAAAGGATTAGAACATTAGTATACACGTACATCTTTACAATTTTACCTTCATTTTTTTTTTTCTGGATACAAATGAATATATAGTAAAAAAGTAAAAGCCTACATGAGCTTAGATTATGTTACACTTAAATTTCCCTTTTTACCTTTGCCAATTTATTTTATATTCAGCTGCTTATTTTGAGCATCTCTGGGTCAAAAATTTCCTTAGGCATGCTGATGTATCCTCTGGCACCCCTAAAATAATTCCTAAAAACTTTTATTAAATAAACATTTGCCATTCTAAAATGAAACTTTGGTAAATGCTTGTGGAAGTCTAACCTCAAGCATCAACTAATAAAGAATAAGCTGAAAATCAGTTGACTCAAATGAATTAAATAAAATGTGTATAATTAATTGTAGACATTGGCTACCAGACAGGATTTGTTATCAAAGAGAAAATTAAAACTGATAAAATTCCAAATAGAAATGTTAAGGGCAGAAGCATAAATAGATTTTCCCATATTCTTGGTCTTTGCCTGCTAAGACTAAATACAGTATTTAGAAATGTGAAACTTTAAAATATTTCATTTTCCAAAACTCTATGTATATTAGTTATTCATATATATACACATAGGATATTTACATACATATATAAACACCTGAATACAAAGCAGGAACTCACTAGTTTTACTTAACTGTTTCAATGATTTATAAGTATCTGTACTAATGAATCACTTATTTTCCTAACATTAGGATTTTTGTCAGTTTATCTTACAAAGACTTTCAGTAATTTGAAAGTCCTAAAAATGATTGCTTCTTGCTATTGTCTTTTCTCCATGGTTTACAGACATGGTTTAAAATGACAGGGTTGTTCTCTAATAGAGTATAGAAAACGGCCACGATTTATTGAGCTTTGCAAGGTGAAAGAGAAAATTGGCATCAGCAAGCATAAATTCCCAAGTAGTAAATTCCCGCAAAGTAGTACAGCATCAAAGTGCTCCAGCCACATTTATATTCTGTTCACTCTGAAGTGAATTTTTTCTAGAGCATTAATGTCAACATTTACAAATTGAGTCCCTATTCCTATGAAGTGATCATTTCTGATTAATTCCATTCTCATAAGCCAGTGTTTTTTCTGGAACATTGATGTTTCCCTTTTTCAAAAGTAGAAGAATAAAATCTTATAGTTAAAAATTTCTATTGACCCTATGATCTTTTACAGTGGGTCTTTATGGATGTTAGTGAAATTTTAAAATGCTGTTAAAAAGAAAGAAAGCATAAAAATATCAGTATACAACATTTTGAGATTCTATTTTATTAGCTCTCTCTGCTTTCTAACTGGATCCTAGTTAGGATTCAGCATAGTTCTAGGGCACTGAAAGTGTTCTGTGTGCATTAGAGGTTTTGTTCTGTGCATCACATTCGTTAATTGTTATTATAATTAATGTGATTAATACATTGTAATTAATACATTGATATGTCAATTTCATTATTTTTGCTCCACCTGGGAATTTTTTTTTAAATATTGGTGGTAAGACAGGTTATTTGTATTACTACCAGGGCCCAGTCCGTTCCAGCAAAAACCATATTGCCTTCCACCAAAAGAGACTTGAAACAGTTGGACTTCTAGATGGCTATACAAAGTGAGAACTTTCCCTCATTCTAATTTTAGTCTTTTAGCTCCTGGCCTCAAAATATGTTGCCTTTTCATTTAGTTTCTTAGTTGTATGCCTTAATAAATAGAAGAAAATAGGGGCCTCCCTATTGGTTCAGGGGCTAAAGTCTCAGGACCATCTATCGGCTGCCACTGCAGCACTAGTTCCATCCCCTGGCCAGGGAGCTGACCTGCATGGCACAGCAGACCTCTCCTGTCTCATTTGCTGCTCCACTCAGCAGTGTATTTCAGTAGATCTGCCTGTTCTGCTCCCCTCTCTGTCTCTGGTGAACCCTCTCACCCCCCACACCTCTGGCCTACACCCCAGTTCTTATATGCGTAAATAAATAAAAATAAATCTTAAAAATATATAAATAAATAAATAGAAGAAAACAGCAAAAGGACTGTGGTACAAGTTTGACCAAATTTCTTAGTAAACTGACAGAGCACCATCATATTGATTGATGGATTGAAACAGTCTGAGACTCAGGATAGTGAGAGTTTGGGTATTTATCTAGCCTGCCAAACTCCCATCTCTGCCAAAGACTTAAGCGTTTCTCACTGTAAAATGACAAAATAATAACATCTCTCCTCAGGGTTGTTGTGGAGGTGACATGAGTTAATCTATTTAAGTCTTTTAAAATAGTTCCTGGCACATAGTAGGTACTCAGTACATGGTAGTTGTTGATGTGGTGGTGGTTAATATTTGAATTGAGTTGTTTTCTTTTTTTTTGCAAAAAAACAGCGGGTACCAAATTGCTTTATTTGAAGGAATGGTACAAATGAAAGCTATACGTAGATGTTTTGGTACAACTCATAGAAAAGGTAAAGGATAACCCCAACATGCATGCACAGCCTTGGTGAACAGGAAAGTCACCCCCTGGCTATGAGAAGCCAGCCTAAGGCTTAGCTTAGCTCTTGTCACTGTCTCCCAGGGTATGCTTGTCAAAGAGATACTCGGCCATGCCAGATTCGGGGGCCCCCCCATCTTGCGCAAGTTGGTTCCATGGCCCCCCAGTTCTTTGATGGATTTCACCTGCTCATCCAGGTAATGAGTCTCCAGGAAGTCACACAAATGGGGGTCGTTTTTGTCAGTAGCCAGTTAGTGCAGCTTCAGTAGTGACTGATTCACGCTCTTTTCCAAGTGTAAGGCGCACTCCATTGCATTCAGCCCGTTCTCCCAGTCATCGCGGTCGGGTTTCTTGATGGACTGAAGGAAGATGCGGCCACCTCGTTGGTTCTGCAGCTTCATCAGTTCCCTCTCCTCATGAGATTGGTGAAGAAAATATTTGGCAAAATTCTTCAAAGCCACATCATCACGGTCAAAGTAGTAAGACATGGACAGGTAGACGTAGGAGGCGTAGAGTTCCAGGTTGATCTGGAGGTTGATGGCGGCCTCCGAGTCCTGGTGGTAGTTCTGGCGCACCTGCGAGGGGGACGCGGTCGTCATGGCGGCGGCGAGGGCCGGGGTCGATCCCACGGCGCTGTGGGGCGGGCAGCCGGGCGGGCGGCCAGGGAGGGGACGTGCGCCGGGTTCCGTCCGAGCACTGTTGAAGCAGGAAACCGCGGCGACTCTCCGCGAAGGCTGTGGCCGAGTTGTTTTCTAATGTTTGTTTTTCTCCCTAGAATTTTTTACTAGCTAGCATTGCATATTTTTTATTTGTTTATTACCTGTCATCCCAACTAAAACGCAAGCTCCATGAAGGAGAATGGTTTTGTCTGCTCATGGCTGTGTCTAAAGAACATACCTGGCACACAGTAGGCACTCAGCAGCGAGTCTTCAAATGGATGAGGAGAGGAGAGGGGGAGAGAGGGAGGTACTTCTCCCGCTTCAGGTCGGAGTTATTTGGGTGTCTTAATCGCCCATTTCTGGTGGGTGGCGCAGCTTCTCCACTGTGGCCTCCTTGACTCCAGGTGCAGCACTGCACAGAGCAGATCTGTGCAGATGCTGGTGAAGGAGCAAGTGATTGATTAAAATTTACTTGGTCTTAAATGTTTCATTTCCAGATCTCTTCCTGTGATACAAACATCTCAGTTTAGTGACATATTTTGCTTTTTCCTTATGTAAAACCAGACAGTGTAGAAATTTATAGAACATATAAAGTGAGCAAACTTTTTTGGCCCTTAAAAACCTTTAATAGTTAAGGCAAACGTTTGGATTCTCTCTCATTTTTTTGCAGTTATGCATCATTTTTATTTCTCCCAAAAGTTCATTTAAAATTCTTGTGTTTTAAAGGTGAGGAGATTTGACACAGTGACGTTTATTTGAGCTGTATTATATATGCGGTCAGAGCAATGAATTCATTCTCTGTTTATATCAGAGAACATTCCAGCAATTGTAAAGCCACATGCATGCATGCGCGCACTCTCGAACCACATCCAGTGGCAAGTTATTATGGGGACTGACAGACTGTCATCCTTTTGATGGCTTGAGCTGTATATCTCCTGAACAGCAATGGGGCTCTTATGCAGAAAGTATCATATGTTCCCAGCCAATTTACAGGGAAACAGCAATAACATTTTATCATGGTTGAGAGCCCAGTAGCTGCTTCCTATTAAACTTGCCCTTTCAGATACCTGTCTTGGATTAATTTGTTGATTTCAAATGGAAACTCAGTCTTCTCCAGTGAAGCATGACGTTTTAGGATAGACTCTCTGAATGACAATTACTGTGTATTCTAGCTGGTTTCAGACCATTACAAGCCTTGGGCACAGTGGAAGACAGAAGACTTCAGTAACTGATTTTAATATCGTGTCTAATTTCAACTGTCAGTTATGTATGTGCCAGTGAAAGAATCCTCAGAAAGATGAAATGCAAAACACTTCTAACTTGCTCTTTTTAATGATGCACTTTGCTGTGGGGGGTGGGAAGGTGGGAGGAGGAAAAGCGGAGAGGCAGTAGGCATCTTCTAGAGGGAATCAGACGGCGGGTGGGGAAGCATCAGATTTGAAAAGTGAGCACATAACAACCACCACCTTCTTTTTTTTGGTCTGCCCCTCAGGATGCTTCTAAATAGCAATATGTTCACCAAAAAAGGTTCTATCAATTTTCTTGAACGTTCAAAAAAAAAAAAAAAAACGAAATGTAGGGTTTTACAAAGGATAATAAGCTGTACTCACCATTTTGGTATTATGGACAGTATGATATTCCTTAGCAGTAGAGACTGTTGTGAGGTCCTGCTGCATGTAGCTTGATGGATTATAAAAAGGGAGTAACTGTGCTGCCTTAAATGTCATAAGCCATTTCAAGACAATATCTAAATTAGGAAGCCCCTAAATTATATTTCAAATGGAAGGGAGAAGTGATATTCTGGGGTCTTTAAAAAAATTCCCTGCTCAAGAAATACATTAAACATACACATCCTTGATCATTTGTGCTTAGAGGATGTTTTTGCACTTACAGCACATTAACTAATTGTTAATTTGTGATTTTACATTTCACAGTTAATCCCTAAGCACATTGGCTTTATCTTTTCCCAAGTCATCTGCTACAACATTATAATGATAGCCTGATCTTATTTAAAGGGGGAAAGATAGCATCAGTAGCAACTGTATACATGCAACAAACTTGGGTCTTTATAAAAGAACACATGAAACTGCTGGCTTTCTTCCTGGCAGGGTACACTTGAACAGAATGCGTGATAGCTGATTTCAGTCCAGTCTTTTGTATCTGTTAAAATCCGTAGTAAGAAAAATCCTCACACAACATGGCCCATCTTGTGAATTCATATACATTCACATACGTGATGTAGTAGTCCTTGAGCCACAGCTCCTCTGGAAAAGCCTGGTTACATACCAGTTGTACTACATGGTAAGTCCATACAGATCCTGGCTCTGAACCTTTCCCTCTCCTCTAGCACTGAGAAAATATTCTCTTGGTCATGATACTGAGATTTTGAAATAAACAGACATATTTTAAATGCACAAAATAAACTAAACTTAAGCATGCCAAATCCTCAATTTAACATTTATATGTGTCTCTTTTCAGCCCTTATCCTGGAAGAGATTGGTTTTAAGAAAGCTTTGGTGACATTTGTTGTATAAATTCTTTGTATAAAAGAAACTTATAAATTGCTGGGTATAGAGTTTTATCTGAAACTTGAGTCAGTGGTACTTCGCAAAGCTGTGCTGCCCAGACTGGGGTAAAAGACTGCGAATCAAAGTAATGCAGCATTTTGATTCTATTTTTTTCTGGATTCACATTGAACAGCCGTTTATGCCATCAGCTCAGTGATAGAACAAATGATGTTTCCGCTTGGGCAAGCTTTGTTTTATCAGGATCAGTAACCTTATCAGCAGTTGACCCAGAACTATAATGCATGTCTCTGAATAGATAGCATATGTCACAACTCTCTGCAGACTTGCTTCATAAGCAAGATTGTCTAATGAAGATTTAATAAATAAGAAAAAGTTTGCAGCCAGAAGTGTCCTCTTTTATAATGATAACTTCTCTTAAGCTCATTTTACTGCTCATGCCTCATCTCTTGCACTTATCCTCATAAATGTTAAGAGAATAAACATACATATGAATGCATCCACATGGACGCCCATGATGCATAGTTTATCTGTCAATATTTCTTTCTGAAATACATCATTTGTGAATAGAGAATGTAGAATTTAGATGATCATGTTGGTTTAAGGTTCTTATGTGACACATAAATGCAATAATGTCCCAAAACCCATGCGTGTGATAAACCAACAGCACTTTCGTGCAATTATGTATTGTTTCTTAAAAATAGCATAGTGTAGAGGATTTTTTCTCAGTGCAGAATGGCCTCACTCGGAAATGTTTAGTCACTAGCCTTTAGTACCCTATAATTTTAGATTGGATTCTTCACTCCCATCAATCTGCTTTGATTTCTGAAGACATATAATAAATGGAGAGAGAAGATGGAGCATCCTCCTACGTAAATAAGTCACGCATGACTTGTACATTTTGACATTTAACACTTATTTTCTTTGACCTTTGACAGGTTAGGGCTTGACCCAAAACTGCTGGCTAAAATCTTAAATATGAGCTCAGGACGGTGTTGGTCAAGTGACACTTACAATCCTGTACCTGGAGTGATGGATGGAGTTCCCTCGGCTAATAACTATCAGGGTGGATTCGGAACAACACTCATGGCGAAGGTACAGTAAGTGCAGACTGCTCCAGAGACAAGGAACACAGTTTAATGGTCTCGTTCTCCTCCCTCCTTCCTCTTTCTCGCTCTCTCCTCATCTCCCCTTTTAACAAAGCATATGTCTGTCCTGGAAGGCGAAATTACTAAAATGGTGATTTACTTACTCACTGGAAATGAGTTAAAACTTAACGTAGATAAAATTCTTACCTTGTTCCTTCCTTGCCTTTTAGGTAAGAAGAATAGGCTGGGATTTTTTTTTTTTAGTGCCTGGGGTTTATTTCTATTATGAGCTGGTGAAATTTTGTTCTTCCTTATAAAAGTACATTAATTTTTACCAAGTTCTTAGAATGGAAGCAGTGTGAATTTTCTGATGGTTAATAAATTGCACATTGACAAAAAAAAAGAGAAGATCTTTCTCATGCTACTAAATACATCTCCCTGCTTTAATCATTTATGCATATTTATTTTAAAGTCATTTGAGAAGCAAATTGCTGGGCTCCTCTCATTTGTGACCTTAACTTTAGGAAATACTTTTTAACAGACTAACTCATATTTCTGCATAGAGCTTGTTTCTTTTCCAATTGACTTTCTTTTCAATTACAAAGCAGTAATACATACACCTAGATCCCATACTTAGTTTTCTCTCCTTCCTTCCCCTGACGTTCTGTCCATTCTACTTCTCAAACATGCCTTGAATTTTTCCAGTTCCTTCCTCTGCCACCTGCAGTACCTTGGCTTTGCCTTGTTTAGATCACAGCCGTCACTCACCTCCCTGCTGTTCATTCTAATCTTTCCCAATTGATTTTCTACACCATGGCAAGAATGTGCTTCCTAAAATGTAATGCTTGATTATGTCTTTTCTCTTATTAAGCCCCTTTCATGGTTTCTAATTATTTGTAGGTGGAAGTCCATCCCTGCAAGTTGTCTTACAAGACCCTTGATAATTTGGCCTTTGCTTGCCTTGCCAGCTCATTTGTGCCGTTCCTCCCCTTCTCTGCTTCAGTCATACTGAAGTCATTTCTGCCTCTTGTCTCTCTCACCTATAACCACCACACTTGCTGTGCCCTCTGCCTGGATCACTTCCCCCCCCCTCATTCCCCAGCTCCCTAACTTCTGGCAGATTGTCAGCACACTTTAAATATTTATTGGCTAAAGCAGTGTTTAAAACCACACTTCTTATTTTGCATTTTATTTTTCCATTAAAATATTTATTTTTATGCCTGCAATACCTTGTATTTAGGTTTGCATATCTTCCACTTGGACTTTTATAACTGTGCTATGTAGCTGTTGTTAGAAACAGAAAGATGCTCCTTAAATATGTTGTTTTCATCAAAATTGCAGGGTGATTTATGAGAGGACTTGGAAGAAAGAAAGAATGACATTTGTGACCATTTTCCAGTATATTTCTATAGGAAGTGGCTCATAACCTGTTGGCTTATTTGGTTCCTAAAATACTGCCAGTGGCTCAATCAGAGAAACCACAAACAAGTAAAGTGTAAAAAGAAGTAGGAGGCTTCTAATAAACAAGGAGATGGGCTTGTCTGGTCTCCATTCATGGCAGCACTGGCTTTGTTCCGGGACTCCTCAACCTTACAGACTTCACCTTTACTTTCGCCACTTCACCCAGCACCCCTGCCCTTCCAGGGAAGCTTTTTTCTAACACTTCAGGGTTAACAAGCCGCTCAGGCCTTTATAATCACCTTTCTCTTTTCAGAACATCCCTCCTATAAGGTAACAATAACCAAAGCTATTTTAATTTCCCCTTGTTGGTTTATTAGCTTGTATTGGGGATATTTACTTGGCCCTTTGAAAAATTCTAATAAACTTTTCTAGATAGTGTTATCTTCTCCATAGTATGTTATGTTTAGTCTGATTTTTTTTATTCTGGTTATAGTACCAGCTTATAAAGTCAAATGCAGTCTTTCTATATAAATTTTCTCGCTCATTTAAAAACAAGTGCATCTTGCAGATGTGCTACAAATGATGTCAACAAAAGATGTTTGTCTGCTTGTCAGTATATAAACACTAAAGTAGTTGTCCACATTTGTTAAGTGTGTGTGTAATAATTAAACTTGCTCTTTAGTGAACGCTATAGATGAAGTTAAAATTAAGTAGATTTTCCAAATCTGTGTGTTTACATATGAAAGTTACATAAGAAAACACAAAATAATATTTACAACTGTAGTGCCTTACATATTCAGAAGGCTAAAGATTTAATTTATTCTTTAAACTTCGCTTAATTTTTCTTTGAGTCGTTTTCCCCTTTGAGTGGAATATGGTATCAATAACTAGCTGCTCAGTTATCAAGGGTGTTCCTCAAGGAACAGGCATTTCTTTTTTTTTTTTTAATAATAAATTTTATTTTTATATTCCCCATACAATTGCAACCCCCTTATTTTGACCCCAGTCCCTCCCCTCCCGCCCCCTACCCCCCATAGAGTGTCTCTGGTTCATAGTTTTTTTGTTGATTTTGATTTTTACTTTCTTATAATTATTCATTTTTCTGGTCCCTTATTTAAGTTTTCTAGATTCCTGCTATGAGTGAGACCATCCGGTATTTTTCTTTTTCTTTCTGGCTTACTTCGCTGAGCATGATCCCTTCCAGCGCCATCCATGTTGCTGCAAATTGCATGTGTTTATCTTTTTTGAATGCTGAGTAATATTCCATGGTATATATGTACCACATCTTCTTGATCCAGTCATCTATTTTTGGGCATTTGGGTTGTTTCCAAAGCTTAGCTATTGTAAATAGCGCTGCTATAAACATAGGGGTGCAGGTGCTCTTTGGAATTGATGTTTCTGTGTCCTTTGGGTAAATACCTAGGAGAGGAATTGCTGGATCATATGGAAGCTCTATGTTTAGTAGGTCCAGAAATCTCCACACAGCTCTCCATAGTGGTTGGACCAGTTTGCACTCCCACCAACAGTTCAGGAGAGTTCCTTTTTCTCCACACCCTCACCAACATTTGTTGTTGCTAGTTTTTTTAATATGTGCCATTCTCACTGGTGTAAGATGATATCTCATGGTAGTTTTGATTTGCATTTCCCTGATTACAAGTGATGTTGGAACATTTTTTCATATGCCTGTTGGCCATTTGCATTTCCTCTTCAGAGAAGTTTCTTTTTAGCTCTTCTGCCCATTTTTTGACAGGATTATTTTCTTTGTTGTTGTTGAGTCTCAACAGCTCTTTGCAGATTTTTGTGATTAGTCCTTTATCATTAGTGTTGTGTGCAAAAATGTTCTCCCAGTTGGTGGGGTTTCTCTTTGTTTTTGTTATTGTCTCTTTTGTTGTGCAGAAGCTCTTTAATTTGATGTAGTCCCAGCTGTTTATCTTTGCCTTCACTATCACTGCTTTGGGTGATGTGTCTGTAAAGATGTCTTTGATGTGCAAATCCCGTAGTGTTTCGCCTATATTTCCTTCTATGTATTTTATGGTTTCAGGTCTTATGTCTAGTTCTTTAATCCATTTTGAGTTGATTTTTGTGTATGGTGTGAGGTAGTGGTCAAGCTTCATTCTTTTGCATGTAGCAACCCAGTTTCCCCAGCACCATTTATTGAACAAACTTTCCTTGCTCCAATGCATAGTCTTTGCTCCTTTGTCAAAGATTAGTTGACCATAAATCTGTGGGTTTATTTCTGGATTTTCTATTCGATTCCATTGGTGGAACAGACATTTCTTATCTTGCTCTTATCTTCCTCTTTCATTGCTTGTTAATTTTTCCTTTGGTGGGGGAAATGAGGATGGTAATGGTAAGAAGAAAATCTGTCTGGTCTTGTCACTTGTTTTTAGCTAATATAAAATCATAAATATAATGAAATGTGGGATGGGGGGATATTGTTTCAATATCCATGCCTTCCATTTACCCCAGGTATTTCAAGTTTGCACAAGATTTCATTTTATGGTGGTGAATATCCATTAGCTACAGTTTAAATATAAAGATTTATAACATTTACTCTTCTCTGTTCTTAAGTAGCCATAAGTTTTGTGAAACCCTGAGAATGAAGCTCTCTGAGTTGTTAAAGGATTGTTATAATGATGACTATTCCATTGCACTTACAATAAAATCCAGACTCCTTACCAGATATGTTAAAACTGTCTGCCTTTTGCTTCTGCCTATCCCCTGGCTCATTTCCACTCTGAATTCCTTTGCTCATTTTAGTTCAGTCTCATTGGTCTTACTATTTTTTTGATACCCAAGACATGTTCCAATGCAGGGCTTTTACCTTGCTACTCCAACTGCCCGGAACTCATCCCCAGCTTTGCAAAGATTTCATTGCTCCCTAACATTCAGATCTTGGGGTCTTCACCTCAGGGAGGTCTTCTCTCAATATTTCATCTATTATAACTCTCTTCCTTCCACTCCATTCCCGTCACTTTCTAACCCTTTACCCTGCTTTATTTTTCTTCATAGCACTTATCACTATCTGAAATTATTAGTATTTGTTTTGTTATCTACCCTCCCCATAGACAGCAAGCTTCATGAGAAAAGTGACTTGGTTTTATTACGACGATATTCCTGTGCTTAGAACAGTGCCCAGCACACAGCAGTTGCTAAATAGCATATTGAATGGATATTCAGTAATTCTATAATGGGGTTTGTCTTAGGCATATACGTTTCTACAGATTGAAAAAACATTTCCCTGTGTGAGCTCATGTGTACAGTAAACCCTGTTCAAAGTCAAAACAAAACATAAAAGCCTTGCCAGAGGTTGGGCACTCAGAAATCACGATTTCTGTCTAGAGCAGTTTTGTAGCTACAGGAAAGCACTTATGAAAATGTAGTGCTTGTAACTCTCTTACTTTTTCAGACTTCATTTTTCCCTCTTTGAAACCAAAGCATTAGAAACCTTAGTTCCGACGTGAATCTTAACTACTAGTCTCAATATGTTCCCCCCTGCCCTTGTTTGGTTTAGGACCTGGGATTAGCACAAGACTCTGCTACCAGCACGAAGAGCCCAATCTTGCTGGGCAGTCAAGCCCATCAGATCTACAGGATGATGTGTGCAAAAGGCTATTCAAAGAAAGACTTCTCATCAGTGTTCCAGTACCTGCGAGAGGAGGAGACCTTTTGAGTTTGCCCCTGGGCTATGAACAGTTGGAAACCACACACTACCTTGGAGCCTCCTTACAGCTCACTCCACAAGTAAATGGGTTTAATCAAAGGTCACCTATCTGCTTTTGATCATCTAGGTCATAGTGAACCCTAGGATTATTCACCCATTTTTAACTATTTATCCTTTTTATCTGTTTAGCAGACATTTATTATCTGAATTTTTTTCTTCCAGCCATTGATGGTCTCTGCTGTTTTATCTTTTTCAAAAGTTTGATTATTGAGCATCTTCAATTCAATTGATCAGAAAACTATTTACTTCACTTTACAAAGAGCAGTTATTTTCCAGTAGGATGCAACCGATCTTAAAGGAAAGAAAACAAATTGGCATGAGGGGCAGAGTCAGAGAAAGGGAGATGTAGTGGTTACTACCTGTGTCCCTCAGCAGTCCCAGACCCAGCTGTCCTGTCACCCAGCTGAGGTTCTTGCATCACCAATGTGTTTTCCAGGGAGCTGGTGAAGCAAGAGCACTCCTTGGACTCAGCTGCAGTGTCCTAGGCTGCCCTCTCATAACAACTCCCAGTAGTCAGCAAAGTTGCTTTGTAGGTTTTTTTCTTTCTTGTACATTCTTACTACATATTTTTGACTTTGAAAGAATGACATCTATAGATCTATTTCAGAGCCAATGATGATATTTGCTTTAGATAATTATTACATTATTCTGAATATAACCAGATTATTTTCAATTCAAATAAATTTCTATGCTGATAGTACTTTTTGGAGGTTTTTTGTCTTCCCAACCATTAAGTGAACCGTCATATGGTCTGACAAACCGGTGTTACAGACTAATGGGGGGAAATGATGGGAAGAAAGGAACAGGAAGGGAGGGGAAGGCACAAGGAACTGAATTGGCCAGTGGTGATCCAGCCTCCTGCTGCTCTGCCTGAATCCGTAACTGGCATTTGTTGCGATACCCATCTGGGCCAAGGGTGCCGCAGGAATTCAGCTTCTTTACATGCGTTGTGCCCCAGTATTGACCACTGCTGCCACTCTCCCTGCCTCAGCCACTAGAACTATTCCAGTGATACACCTGGTTGCCAGATTTGGCAGAAGCACTACTATGTCCATTATTTTCCCAGTGATGAACAATTCTAGTCACTATTACAAGTGCTGCGAATACGGTGATGGACAAAACAGACAAAATCCTGCCCTTGTAGACCATAAATTCTGGTGTGTATGTGTATGAGTGGGAGGGGTGTGACAGACAAGAAATAGATGTGTACTGCACATGCCAGGTGATGGTGAGGCCTGAAAAGAGAAATAAAGCAAGATAAAGGGGATGATGAAGAGTGCCAGGGGTATTTTATTAGGATCTTGTAGGTTGTTAGGATATCGGCTTTTATTCTGAGTAAAACAGGTGGTGTATCAGTTACCTTTTGCAAAAGCTGACTGATTCATTGCCATCCTCAAAATTTAGTGGCAGGAAATAACGTGTTTATTATTTTCCAGATTCTGTAGGTTGGCTATATTCTTTTGCACTGTGCCAGCTCATGTGGCACTAGAGGGTCTAGTTTGGCCTCCCTCAGCTTGGACAGCTGGAATGGTTGGGGCTTTTCTCTATGTGGTCACTCAATCTCCAGGAGACTAACCTGAGTTTGTTCCCAGAGTGGCAGAAAGGTTCCCGGCATCAACACAGGCCCAATGAAACAAGTACTTTTCAAACCTCTGTTGCAAGTCACATAGACAGGCCCAGCGCCCACACAGGAGGGGCTCCAAAGAAAGACATTTTGGTGGCCACTTAGCAGACATCCCAGCACAGTCAGTTCATGGAAAGTTTTGTTCAGAGAATTGATGTCCTCCGACCTACTTTTTTTTTTAATTAATATTTTATTTTATATAATTCTTACATCATTTTTTTCATTTTTGCACAATGTATGCATTATCATTTTGGTTATATACCCCATACAATTGCACTCCCCCCCTTATTTTGACCCTAGTCCTTCCTCTCCCATTCCCTTCCCACCCACCCCTGTAGTGTGTCCCTGGTTTATAGTTGCTTGTTGATTTTGATTTTTACTTTGTATTAATTAGTCTTTTTCCTGGTCCCTTATTTAGGTTTTCTAAATTCCTGCTATGAGTGAGACCATCCGGTATTTTTCTTTTTCTTTCTGACTTATTTTGCTGAACATGATCCCTTCTAGCTCCATCCATGTTGCTGCCAACTGCATGTCTTTATCTTTTTTGATTGCTGAGTAATATTCCATTGTGTATATGTACCACATCTTCTTGATCCAGTCATCTATTTTTGGGCATTTAGGTCCAACCTACTTTTTAATGGTAGAAGCAAGGAGATCAGTTAGGAGCTGATTGTAATAATCCAGTAGAGAAATGGTGGTAACCAGGACCAGAGTGTTAACAATAGTGGAGGGAGGAAGTAGTCAGGTTCTGAATATAAAAGACAGCCTGATGAAAGGGGTGAGAGAGAAAGTAGGAGTCAAGAGTGATTTTTATCAAATATTTGGGAATAAATCTAACAAAAGAGGTAAAGGACCTATACAAAGAAAACTATAAAACACTGTTAAAAGAAATAGAAGAAGACACAAAGAAATGGAAAGACATCCCCTGCTCATGGATTGGAAGAATAAACATTATTAAAATGGCCATCCTACCAAAAGCAATATACAGATTCAATGCTATTCCAATCAAAATCTCAATGGCATTCTTCAAAGAAATAGAACAATTATTGATGAAATTCATATGGAATCACCAAAAACCCTGAAGAGCCAAAGCTCTACTGAAAAAAAAAGAAGGAAATGGAGGCATCACACTCCCAGACTTCAAACTATACTACAAAGCCATAATCATCAAAACTGCATGGTATTGGAACAAGAACAGACATACAGACCAATGGAATCGAATAGAAAATCCAGAAATAAACCCACAGATTTATGGTCAACTAATCTTTGACAAAGGAGCAAAGACTATGCATTGGAGCAAAGAAAGTTTGTTCAATAAATGGTGCTGGGGAAACTGGGTCGCTACATGCAAAAGAATGAAGCTTGACCACTACCTCACACCATACACAAAAATCAACTCCAAATGGATTAAAGAACTAGACATAAGACCTGAAACCATAAAATACATAGAAGGAAATATAGGCGAAACACTACGGGATTTGCACATCAAAGACATCTTTATAGACACATCACCCAAAGCAGTGATAGTGAAGGCAAAGATAAACAGCTGGGACTACATCAAATTAAAGAGCTTCTGTACAGCAAAAGAGACAATAACAAAAACAAAGAGAAACCCCACCAACTGGGAGAACATTTTTGCACCCAACACTAATGATAAAGGACTGATCACAAAAATCTGCAAAGAGCTGATGAGACTCAGCAACAACAAAGAAAATAATCCAGTCAAAAAATGGGCAGAAGAGCTAAAAAGAAACTTCTCTGAAGAGGAAATGCAAATGGCCAACAGACATATGAAAAAATGTTCAACATCACTTGTAATCAGGGAAATGCAAATCAAAACTACCATGAGATACCATCTCACACCAGTGAGAATGGCACATATTAAAAAAACTAGCAACAACAAATGTTGGCAAGGGTGTGGAGAAAAAGGAACTCTTCTGCACTGTTGGTGGGAATGCAAACTGGTCCAACCACTATGGAGAGCTGTGTGGAGATTTCTGGACCTACTAAACATAGAGCTTCCATATGATCCAGCAATCCCACTCCTAGGGATTTACCCAAAGGACACAGAAACATCCATTCCAAAGAACACTTGCACCCCTATGTTTATAGCAGCACTGTTTACAATAGCTAAGCTTTGGAAACAACCCAAATGCCCAAAAATAGAGGACTGGATCAAGAAGATGTGGTACATATATACCATGGAATATTACTCAGCATTCAAAAAAGATAAACACATGCAATTTGCAGCAACATGGATGGCGCTGGAAGGGATCATGCTCAGCGAAATAAGCCAAAATGAAAAAGAAAAATACCGGATGGTCTCACTCATAGCAGGAATCTAGAAAACTTAAATAAGGGACCAGGAAAATGAATATAAGAAAGTGAAAATCAAAATCAACAAAAAACTATGAACCAGAGACACTTTTTGGGGTGTGGGGGCGGGAGGGGAAGGATTGGGGTCAGAATGGGGCGTTTGCAATTGTATGGGGGAATATAAAAATAAAATTTATTATTTAAAAAAAAAATTAAAAAAAAAATAAAGCACATTAAACATTAAATCAAAAAAAAAATAAAGTGAAGAATAAAGTGAAAAAAAAAAAGAGTGATTTTTAAGGTTGGTGGAGAAAAGTGAAAGGAGTTACAGCTTACTGTGTGGGAATGATTATGAGACATGGGTTTGGGGAGGACTGTGGAAAATTTAGCGGGAAAATATTAAGAGTTTGAGATGCCTAATAGCTACTTCCCCTCTGTCTCCATAGCTCTTGGTTGATATCTCTGGAATCCCAGGACTTACCAATACATTGTATTTTCTGGTTTGCCTCTCTGCTTTTTCTACCAGCCTGTGGGCCCTTGCAGGGCACAGATTTTGCCATATTCAGCTTTGAGTTCCTAGGTTGGGTTCAGCACCCAGCTCTGAGTAAGAGCTCAGGAAATGTGTGAGTGACTCCTTGAGCAGAAGCTACATTATTGCATTTATGTTGAAGGAACTACCGCCTACACAAATTTTTATCTTCAAGAGTCTCCCATGGCAGATAGGTTTGTTTTACTTAAGATTTCTAAATGATGCAGTTTGATACACAACTGCCTGAGTAGTTTTGCAGAGTGTGGATCTTTTACAGTGTTCTTAATCAGAAGGATGGCTTATACTATTTGATTAAAGAAACTTCTGAAGGGAAAATGTACATTTTTGGTAGCAAGCTTTAATCTCATTTTTTCTGTACTTTTAAACATCAATTTGCATGCAGGTAAAGCACACACACACTTCCCTTTATGGAGCACAGCAGTTCTGAATGCAGTCTTTTATAACATGCTACATAGACCTTGAGGCATAAGGTGACTCTCATAACAGTGTAGATTTGATTTATTCAAGGAGTTCTGTAAATAGTTAGGTGTTTGAGAGATTCTTTTGCTA